TTATTGCGTTATAAGTTTTAAATTTTTTTTATGAAAAAAACATCTTATTAATCGGGTATTTAGATAAAACCATTAATTTCATAAGATAATTTTTATTTTTATTTTTGAACGTTAAAAATAATAGTTATTAGATGTAATATTTCGATGTAAAAAAATTTGTATTAAAAAAAATTTCGATAGGATCACCAACTTTGTTCACACCGATAACTCTTCAATCTAATAGAAGTGGATAAATAGAACATGTTAGCAAAAATAAATTTTATATAAAATTAATCTTTGTAGTCTTATAAAATAAATTAAAATATTTACCAGAAAGTGAATAATTGTTGTGAAATTCATCTAAAAATTGTAATTATACAAAATTAATTCTATGCATTGGAATTTTTCATCGTCCCCAACTGCCCAAACAATAGTATTTTGGAAAATTGAATCATTTTTGTCGCTGACAATGCGTGCGATATTGCTTCTTATTTGTAACGACTGAAAAGTATCTAATGGAGTAAATTTTTCCTTCAATCAATTTTGAACAAAATTGTAGAACAAAGTTGACTTTAATTGAGGCATGAACGTAATCACCCTGTAATTAAAAATAAAAATTTAAGTTAATTTTATGACTTAATTAAGCTACCTAAATCACAAAAAATTTGTTTTAATCATAAAATTAATTGATAAAAACTAAAAGGTTCATTAAAAGATTAAATAATTGTAAACGATTTATAAAGATATAATACCTTCTCATCCAATAGGATCATCAGGCAAGAAACTTGTACTTTGATATTCCAAAGATTTTTGCTCGAATATAATTCTTTGATTAAATTAGATCTGCATGTAAAAACAAAATTCAGTAAACAAAACATAAACATATAATCATTAAGTATCCAAAATAAACACAATTTAAGCAATAATCACAAATATACATTTAAACATGAGTTTTAAAAATTAGGCTAAGAATTACCCAGCCATTAATGACCTAATAAAACTGACACAAAATTAATGACACAAAATTTGCTTGATTTGGTTTTGTATTGATACGAAATTTTGTTAGTGTCATATGATGCGTCAATTTATAATGGTAAATATCAAAAATTTAATTCAATTATAATTAAGTAATAATTTTTATTTCTTATCATAAACAATATCAAAATTTATCTTATAATAGTAGGTATATAAATCCTATATCTAAAGATGATTATTTTAAAAGATAATTTTTAGTTTTTTGAATAAATTAAATCCTAATAAAACAATATTCGTTGTTTTTACTTACGTAGCAAAATTCTTAAATCTCATTCGTCACTTTTGTTTAGGTGACAAACGAATTTTTTAATTCCAAAATAAAATAGAAATCTAATTTTTAATTGGTCAAAAATATACCTTTGCTTATGTGGCACGCCGAATGCTCTCCAAAAATTCCTACTTTATTTATATATATATATATTAGATTGACTAGTTTTGTGCCCGGACGACGGCCGGATTGTTGATAAAATTTTAGGATCGGATAAACTTTTTGGCTTGAATATTTATTAATACGATAATGTAATCCCTTTTGATAATGCAGGATATTTAGACATACGATACCCTATCGCTTATTTATAGAATAGTATACTTTTTGTAATTTTTTTTGTGTATAGATATCTATGTTATTATTGACTTGAAATTATTGTTATTGAACTTAAATTATTTTTATTGAGCTGAAAGTATTTTTACCAAACCAAAATTATTTTTACTGGTTAAAACTTATTTTTGTTGATTCTCTATTATTTGTTTTACTAAATTAAATATATTATAAATGGATCTTATTTTAAAGAACTTTTTGAAACGACTTTTATGATGGAAATAAAACCGAGTTATAGGATATTTATTAAAAGTTATGATTAATTTTTTATATATGAAATATTAGAAGTATATATAGTAATAATAAAACTGTATACAACATTTTTATCTTAAAAAATCTATTCAAAAATCACTTACTTAGCATCATATATGTCACAATAATACATATTTGTCGCCTATGTGGCGCGATACTTGACGAAAAATTGGAATGTCAAGTGACGCTGTCTTGTGGCCTGACTTTGAGACCAACTTTATTTATTAGTGATGTGATATGATATGATATGATATGATATGATATGATATGATGGCTTTGACTTACCTTAGCATGTTGCATGCATGAATTCCTCATAAACAAAGTAGGGACTGCTGTAGACTTCTAGAGTCTAGAGTGAGTATGTGGGACGGAGTAATTTCAATTTCGCACGGCCGTTCTCACTAATTGACATATTAAAATGTGCGTCGATAATAATTTCCAAAGATTCATTGCATGGCCTAGGACTTGGGTGAATGTAAGCCACAAATTCAAGCATCTCACCTTATTTTGACAATAATATTGCATACATTCCACTGTAATTGGCTAGAAATTGCCTACTCGTGGAAACGAATCGAAGTTACATTTTATAAATTTGGAAGAGTCAATTGTAAGTAAAATAACATTTGAAAGTCAACGGCTTAGATTGTATAGTAGTTTGCAACCATAAAACTTGATTTTGTGAGCTCATTCTATTTTCTAAATCCAACTCGTTCAATTATACTGTACATGACTTAATTACCTAAATTCTATTTTAATGACTCCATTTGTACATGTAAAAAGAATATATTATTATGCAATTTAATTTGTTTCACAAAAACTATATAGATTAAATAATACAGTACCAAAAATAAAATGTAAAATTATTAATTATCTACCAGCGTGAAACTTGAATCATATCAATAAAATGACGTATGTATAGTAGAATTTGCATATATTTGTTTGTTAAAAATTCATACATAGCAATAATAAATATAGAACTTCCAAAATTAAAGACAAAAGTGAGAAGGAAGAATTACTTTTATAATGAAATATCTAATGTAAAAATATCATATATGCCCCACCAACCAACGATCTCAACTTATCAATGGTCTATAGGTGACTAGAATAAAATAGAAATTTTAACAAATAGAAAATTATAAAGTCTACTTACACACAACTACAAAAACCAAATACAGAAATAAAGAAACTTGGAATATCCTATTGTATATCCTATCATTTGTATGAACGAATTTTTTATTCTCTCTGTTTCATACAGTTGCCCTGCATTCATGTTTAAGAAAGTTGTTAATATTGCGATTTTATTTTTTTATTTTTTTTATTTTTAATGATAAGCAAATACAAGTATTATTCATCTTATCCATAAATTCCACTTCTGATGGGCTCTTCTTACCTCAACTAACCCACTTTTTTATTATTATTTATCGTCATATATAAAAGACTAGTTTAAGTCCCGTACAATGCACGGTTGCTATTAAATTTTATAAAGGGTTGTTGTTGAATTTTTTAAAAAATTATGCTCGTAATACTAATTCAAAAATTAATATAACTTGAATTATATGCCTATACCAATGTCAAGATTATTGACACTTAGATTTGATTAAAAAAATAGATCTATGAGATTTTTAATTTAAAAAAAAAATTAAAAATCTAAGAATAGAACCCGCGTGTGGTGCGTTATTATTGATACGACTTTTAAGAGTAGAAAAATAAAGTATATATACATATACGAAGTATTCGTATATGTTAACAAAATGATTTTATTTTTAATTGAATTAAACATTATTGCAAAAACAACATAATTGGAAGAAAAAAAGTTGATAGTATTATTGTATAGGGTAGTATAGTTTAATAATATTTACCTAATATATGTTCATTTATTTTATTTTTAAGAAAATGCCTAATATAAAATACTGCGTATATGTTAAAATATACTTCGTATTAGTTTAGTGTATATGGAGAATTATTATTGTTAAGAATGTTATTGGAAAGAAGATATTTTGGATTATTATAAAATAATTTTCTTGAAGAAACTGAGGAAAAAAAAATGTAAAATGGGCGGGAAAATATTTAACTAGAAGATGACATGTGTCATTTCTAGCTAGTTTCGCTTTTAGTATATAGTTTTTGATGATTCGTATATGATCACCATTTCTTCCCCTTGATTTCTCTTTTTGATTCCTATATATTCAAACTACTACCTCCGATCAGTTTATTATTATTTATAACAAAGGAATTTTTTATGTCTCACAAATGATACCTATTTGTTGCAAATTATAAGAAACGGGAATAGTAGAAACAATATGACTAGACAAAGAGAATATTTATATTTTATTTTCTTCTCTCAAAAATTACTTGTAAATAAATAAAAACACTCACACTTCATTTACTTGAAAAGGCAATAATTCAAAAGTCCAATAAAGAAGATACCCTTATGAAAACAAGACAATTGGGGCGTTGACAAAAATAAATCTCATAAAACAAAAGTATAATATTAAAATGTGAATAGTAACCTATATAACATCATTTTCATCAAATGGCCCCCTCCATCACTATATAATATGTGATCGAATGAGTTGCATTTATAATGAAGCTAAGATATACCCCAGTTAATACCCTCAAAATTATTGTGTGCTATATCTTCTTCCAATTTCCTCTTTCTATTTAAGCTCCTCATCTTTCTTCCTTATCTCTTCAACCCTCATACATACTAAAAATCCACAATCTTAAAATAAGCACCTTGTTCTCTTATCATACATTTATATTCGTATTTCTTTGCCACTTTCAATTCCTCTACAACTTAACTCGTATCTTTTTCTAGGTGATCGATCATTATCCCACACATATAAGATTCCTGACCTAGAATTTGGACTCGAAATTTGTTTTAGTGTTCCCAAAACTTTTCCATCAACGGGTATCAATTTTTTTATTTTTTTTTTTTGGTTGGAGGAAGGAATATGAGTAACCCGACTAAGCCAAGACTTCAAGCCGTGTTCCATTTGGTTTCTTACTTGGGTGATGTATTCCAAAGTCTTTTATAACCCAAATTCATTTGTTTTTTTGAATCCAAGGTGTTTGATTTCTTTTTCTTTTTGTCACTTGACACACGTACGATTTTGTGATTTGTTACGAAAAAATAATGGAGGGATTGCAAGATAAGAGAAAGAAGGGGAGTGTGCTAAAAAAGACATGGGAAAGATGCAAGTCTATAGGTCATGGTCAAGTACTAGTAAGGGCACCTTCATCAAGTCTTCTTTCGATACCATCGTCACCCGATCGTAGTCGTATGGTGAAGAGCAAATCATGGTCAGCACTTTGCCCTTCGAGCCCTCTTAGCCCACGACTCGACAAATTATCTGGATCGAATAATAGGAATCCTCGGGTGAGCCCTTTATCACCCAAGGGTTGCTTATCGGTCTACGTGGGGCCCGATAAGCAAAGGTTTGTGATCAAAATTAGTTGCACAAACCATCCCCTCTTTAAGGTGTTGCTTGAACAGGCTGAATCTGAGTATGGGTTTCATGATGGCCCTATAATGCTTCCCTGTGAAGTTGACTTGTTCGTCAAAGTTTTATATGAGATGGAAGCAAATGATCCTGAGGATAGCACCAACAGCACACGGTGTAGGTTTCCTAGAAGAAGCAGCTCGTATCACCTTCTCACCACGTCTAGTAGACTAATTGCTTGAATCAATCACTATTCAATGTGTTCTTTGTTCGAGACTAATTGTCACGTTGATGGTGTTATTTGATCTAGTGACGTGAAAACTAGCTAATAAAGTTTCGACAGAGAGGTAGTAACTTTTTTTCTTTGGTGTTGATTTGGTGCCATAAGTTTATATTTTGGGTGACGACGTATCTAGTGTTAGATATCATTGTTGAGCAACCTTCAATGTACTAAGAACAAGATTATTAGAAAATGTGCAATTTATTAGCTATGTAATCAATCGTGGGATGCAAGTGTAAAATATTGGTAATTTGGTATTGCACAATTAAGTTATATAGTTATATATATACTTGGATTTATACATAGATACATATGCATAATATATATATTTTTTTCGGATTGTTTAATAATATCAAACATTATTATTGTCCTTGTTTTAACAATAATCTCATTCAAACTTTAATACAAAGCCCCATTCCATAGATAATAAAGGCCGTAGAATAGTAATTGTTGCTTCTATAAGAAATGTAATTAATAAATAATACTCCCTTCATCCCTTTATTAGATGCCTATTTCTAGCATTTATTACTCACATAATAAAGAGAAGTAGACATCTGATTAAGAGACGGAGGGAGTACAAGACAGCGCAAGAAAGAAGGTTAATTGAGCTATTAATATGGTCAAATGCATCAATTACATTCCTCATCGTCAAGCTCTTACAATTAATAAGTTCGTGCAATAGATTTATTGGATTGTCCATCTATGATATGATAAAGCAACTAAGAGCAAAATATAGGAAATAGTGAAAACAACATCTTAACAAATTAAAATCAAACTTCCCAAATTCAATCAAAAAAATCCTGACTTTACAAAGAAATATGGTACTCCGTATAGAAAAGTATTGATATCAAATCTTAGGTACCGCTAATATGTTACGCTTAACTACTACGAGCAAAATTCTATGTTCAACTCTATGCTTGAGTCACCACATCATCTATTTTTAAATTCCTTTAAATAGTGACAAATATTTAACAACTATAAAACATATTCATGGATTTCAACCAAAAGCTTGACCTAATGGTTGAAACTCAAGATCAATCTATATACTCTATCATTAACTTCACTTAACTCTATATTATCTAAACTTATACTAAATGTCACTAACATCATCTTAGTGTTTATTAAATATATGGAGTACGTAAGAGCTGGTAAAAAGTTACGTGCATGCAAGAATTTAATTAATATAGAAAAAGCGACACTTATAAACTAGGACTTTGGCCACAACTCACAAGGCTTGTGTTACTAACACTGTGTAATTGACTACTCGTAATTGTGTACTCCGTATGATGCATGTAGTGAACTAGTGATCTAAGTTATATATATATATATATATATATATATATATATATATATATATATATATATATATATATATATATATATATATATATGATAACAGCCAATTATAAGATGAAAATATTGTAGATTCTTTGTTTTTATATTTGTGAAATTGAAAGAACAACAAAACCTAGCTTATTCTTGTTCAAAAAAAAAAAAAAAAAAAAAAAAAGCTAACTTGGTCTAGAAATATAAAACTAACCAAAATATAACATGATGTTATAAGAGATGCAAGAAATATCAACAAATAACAATTAAGAAATTCTACGTGGTCCTTCACTTATGGTGAGCTAATTACGTGTGTCTATGGCCAGACGAGAGGTTGAGTTTATTGATCTAAAAGATAATACAAATCGAAGTACATATTACAAAGAGGCTCCCGTGATGATTGTTCGAAAGAGGATGATAGATTCAACTTTCAATTTGAAGCATAGTCCAACAGAACAAATGATGACAAAAAACCTATAGCTCCAAAAAATTTATACTTGTATTTTTTATATTGTGGATGTTTAACTCGGAAGTCGGAACTAATTAATTTGGTCACCAACTAATAATTATAAGTTAATAATTAAGGTGTTTGATGTGATAATTTTAGTGGTTAGTATGTTCTTTGTAGCCTGTGTGAGTGTATGGGTGTTTATAAATTTATAATAATATGAGAAGTCAATGAGCCGACTCATTTGTTAAAATAAGTACTACCTCCATTTTATACTTTTTACAACTTTGGGGTATTATTTGTTGGATATGAAATATTCCAAAGTTGTAAAAAACATGAAACGGAGGTAGTAGAATAAATTTATACACTTTGTATAAAGTAAGGAGTAAGTTATTTATTAATGCTATATAATATACTTCGTATAGTCCAAATAACTATCAATCAATCAAATACTACGTATAAATTACTATCTTTTTTCTTTGAAATTCTTCTCATTTATCGCCACATGTTTATTTTAATGCTATAAAAGATACTAAGTAAGATAGTTTAACTTTTGGTACTACACTTGCATTGTTTAAAATTGTTTCATTTGATTGTGTATGTTTTTAATGAACAATTTTAATCTTTCATGTTAGTAATCATTTGATATAATTTTAAATTTATACACTGAGACATATACACATATCTAATGATTTAACATGATTATGTTTTCTTTATACATATAGTACTTTTGTAGTTCTTTATATAAATCTCCAATAATAATCAAATTAAAGCATATAAACAATGTCATGAATACAAACTATTTGACACTGTAAATTTAAAATATTGAAAATATTAATTGGCAAATTAATGAATACAACAATTTCTAAAAACAATGATTAGATGTATAGAGAATTTTTAGCCTTTAATTATTGTTACTATCTAAGTACGCAGTACTAATCTAGAAAAAATAAATATAAAAAACAGTGATAGATCCCACGATTTCTACATCCTATGAACTGTAGTTGGACTATACTTGTTTGAATTATTGATTCACAAGGATAATTTTAAGTCACTGGTCCATTTTCAAATCTTAATATAATTGACGTATTGACATGTGGCATTATTAATATTTTGTTTTGTATATAATTGTACTAATTAAGTTGACATTTTTTTATGCACTTTATGTGGCCTATATTATTAGGACGGAGCACGGGGATACTTTACAATCGTTTTCTTTTTTATTTAAATATCTTTGGCGCAATTGTCCCTACGACAAAGTCACATTGATGTATACTTTGACAAGGGCCAAAATACATGATCAATTCTTGTTCATCTTACCAAACCAATATGCTCTTTTGATTGTTTCCATAATAGTTAAATAAATGGTCCTAATGAGATTTCATAATACACCAATTGCCTAGCACTCAAACAATTCATTAATAAATGGAAATTTTGTTAATTACTACCTTAAAAACAGAGGCTTTGTGAATTACTACTCCTAAAAAAAAAGTTGTTAATTACTACCCCTAAAACCGATTAATTCAAGTGATTGCTACCATTTTCCCTAATCAGGCGATTTAAGCTCTTAAAGATATCATTATCTGGCTAATTTATAATTAGTTACTTTTAAACCTTAATTACCTAACTAAACCCTAGAACCACCTCCACACCACCATTGCACCACCACCGCCCACCCACCACCCACAACCGAACCTACCTCCTCCAACTCCCCACCACGACAACACCCCTTTCTCGGTCCCCACCCTAAAACCACCATCCGCCCACCCTTAAACCACCTCCCTTTCACGAAACCCTCCTCCCTACCTACGGTGGCCCTGACCCCCTTCCCCTCGCCGAAAAACCTTGCTCGGCCTTCCCTAATCTGCCTCCACCCCCTTTCCCCATTAATCACCACCCTTAGGGTTTCAATTTTAGGGCTTTAGGGTTTTAATTTTGGGACTTTAGGGTGGTGATTAAGGGGAGAAGGGGGTGGAGGAGGCTTAGGGAGGGCCCAATAAGGTTCTCCGGCGAGGGGGAGGGGGTTAGGGCCGCCAACGGGTGGGGAGGGGGGATTTTTCGAGGGTGGGAGGGATGATTCGGGGTTTAAAGGTGGTGCAATGGGTGGTTTAGAGGTGGAGTGGATACCTGGGTGAGGGTAGGCTGCTTATCAGCTCGCCGGCAAGGGGATGATGGGGTAAGGGGCTGCCGGAGATGGTGGGGATGGGGTAAGGGGGTTGTCGAAGGTGGTGCAGTGGTGGTTTAGAGGTGGTGTTAGGGTTTATTTAATTAATTATGGCTTAAAAACATCTAATTACAATTTTGCTAGACAATGATGTCATTAAGAGTTTAAATCACCTAATTAGGGGCTGATTAGGGAAAAGGGTAGCAATCACCGAATTAATCAGTTTTAGGGGTAGTAATTAACAACTTTTTTTTTTAAGGGTAGTAATTTACAAAACCTTTATTTTTGAGGTAGTAGTTAACAAAATTTCCTTAATAAATATACGTTCATAAATGACGATGAGTGACTCGTTAGTTTGATAGTAAGTTGTACATTAAACAAATACTTCATCCATTCTTTAGTTGACACCATTTGACTTTTGTACTACTCACAAACTCAACTTTAATTAGTTTTTGTGATTTATAGCTATGATAAAATATAGTCACGTGGGATCTTGTTTGAATCATTTCAATGTATATTTTATTAATATCCACTTTTTTTTAATATTACAATGTCGATAATTGAAAATATTAATCGCTAAAATAGTGCGTTGACAAGTGTGATAATAGAAAAGTGTCAACTAAAAAAATGCGGGTAGTATAAGACATGTAAATATAAAGACAAAGGGGTTATTCAAGCGCACATTAATTTGTATAGATTAGTGTCATCATCAAAAATAATATTATATAAACTTTATTATATATTAAAAAGCGTTCCTAAAAACATTTATGTGTCACGTAGCACCCTCGCCACATCATCATTCAACTATGAGCATATTCTAATGAAAAATGTTTATCATGAGATTTGAACTCCCAACCACTAAAATATGCATTAGAAGTCTTACCATCTCATCTATTTGTTTAATCATGCTTTTATGTTCAATTCATTAACACATATATGGATTGGAGATCTGAACATTTAACAGTTGCGATTTTAAAAAAATTCGATTCTATAATCTGCTAATAATACTCATCTAGGTCATGCG